GCCTGCTGCTCATAACTGCTTAAGAGTGCGCTGGCCTGGCCACGAGCGATGACATCGTGGAGGCTATTGTCGGACCCACGTTATAATCAGCCCAGAAGTTTCGTCTGAATTGCATGTTTCTACTTTCACATGCAAATGACTTGTTGCACTTATGAATATGATAACTTTCCGGCATCAATTCTAGTAGGGTAAAACGTAATTACACTTTCGAAACAAGAAGAACAAGAAGCAGCTGCAGAGTGTGAGTTGCTCCGTCTCTCACGCAGCCAGAGAGAGATTCTCCGGCGTTCCGCAACAACGCTTAGCTGCCCGCGAATGTGCCTGCCTATAAATCCGCCTAATTTGCAGCACAATCGGCTGATGCCGATTAATTTAAAAATGACAAAAATCGGCCGATTAATCGGCCGGCCAATCAAGCGGTCGACCTCTAGTTGTATAGGAGTTATGATTGATGTGGATGGTGAATTTGTGATGAAGTGATGGGTTTGTTGAAACCACAAGCAGTTCTGTCTTGGCTAGGTTGAGTTAAAGGTGATGGTCTTTCATCCAGCAAGAAATGTCTGTTAGACAAGCTGAGATGCGAGCAACTATTGTCGGATCATCAGGATGGAATGAGAGGTAGAGTTGAGTGTCATCAGCATAGCAGTGATATGAAAAGCCATGTTTCTGAATGACAGAACCTAGTGATGCCATGTAGACAGAGAAGTTACAATTAGAGGTCGATCGATATGGGTTTTTAACTGGCCGATGCCGATATTTAGAAATCAGGGCAGCCGATATATGATGCCGATTTTTGGGGTCGATATGTTTGGCCGATTTTCTTTTCTTTTCTTTTTTCCCTTCATCTCATAAAAGTGAGTTTGAGTAAATGATTATTGCAGGGTACAAGATAGTAATAGTAGTAGTAGCCTAATTCAGAGTAATAATACATGGCTCAAAACTTAAGCACCTTCTCAAAACAGTTCTGAAGCATGCTTTTTATGTTTGCTGACAGACACCAGTGTTTCCCACAGACTTGCAAATGCAAATTCATTCTCTGACAGCAGGAGGCGCTGTTGGAGCGGGAGATATAGCGGTTTCCCTGGTAGTGGCTGTAATCTAATAAGCACTGCGCTCACAAAAGCTACTTTATCAGGCATTACAGGAAAGACCAAATGAAAATGACATCGAAGCTTTTGTGAAGATGGTCGGTTCTTTTCAAAGATACATTCATATTATGAAAAGCCATGTTTCTGAATGACAGAACCTAGTGATGCCATGTAGACAGAGAAGAGAACTGGTCCAAAAACTGAGCCCTGAGGCCCTGTGACTTGGACGCCTCACCCCTCCATATCGAAGCTTTTCTGCAGAGGGTCGGTTCTTTTCAAAGATACATTCATATTAAAACACCCGCGCTGCATTTTAATTTTGAAACGTGCAGTGCTCAGTTTATTCAACAAAGTATAAGCCTTTTGGGAAATCTATTTGTGGCGGTTCGTCACCACCACAAATAGATTTATTTCCCATAACTCAATATATGGGAAACACTGGACACTGCTATAAGTCAAATGGCCAAGTGATAACAAAAATAAAAGAGTTCACACATATTACACAGCCCGCTGCTCATAACTGCTTAGAGTGCACTGGCCACAAGCGATGACATTGTGGATGCTATTGTCAGACCTACACACACATTTCATGAGGAAAGTTAACGTGCACGTTATAATCAGCCCA